ATAAGAGAAGGCTTGATGAACTAAAGTAATGAGATTGATGATGCCTTGGTATAAGAGAAGGCTTGATGAACTACAGTAATGAGATTGATGATGTCTTGGTATAAAAGAAGGCTTGATGAATTAATAGAATGAGATTAGTGGAGCGGGTGTCATGAACTGACATGTAGAATTAGGGGATCAGGTGTCACGAATCGACACGTAGAATTAGGGTATCGGGTGTCACGAACCGACACGTAGAATTAGGGGATCGGGTGTAACGAATCGACACGTAGAATTAGGGAATCGGAGTGTCACGTTCCGACACATAGTAGTAGGGGAGCGGAGTGTCACGTGCCGACACAAGAGGAATAAAGATAATGAATCTTGAAATTATGTTAATAAATTCGAATGAAAAGAACCTATTTCCCAAATGAGTATGATATGGAGGCTTGAGTCCTCATGAGTGTACTTGACGTTATTTATCAAAGATTCTTGTACATGTTGTTGCTACAGATTGAGTATTGTAGTTGATTTATGATATGATCTGATATATACTATTTTCTATTTTGAGTTGGCCGATGATACCTACTCAGTACTTGTGCCTTGTACTGACTCCTACTTGTATTTATTTTCTTGATTTAATTGTGGAGTGCAGCAAACGTGCCGTCGTCTTCAACTCAACCGCAACTCTAGCCAGTCTTCATTACACCGGATTTCAGGGTGAGCTAATGCTTCTAGCTTGGACTGGATCTTCCTCTTTATGTCTTGATGCCTTGAACTTCCGGCATGGACTAGATTTTTACTTATTTTAGCTTCTTCGATACTCTTAGATTAGTAATTTGAGGATAGATGTTCTTGTGATGATGACTTCCAGATTTTGGGGATAATAATAAGTGTTTGAGTTTTTAGAAGTTATTTGATTTATTTTGTTAATGAGTTTTAAGTCTTCCGCAATGTATTTAGTTCATTATGTTTGAAATGATGGGGTTTAGATTGGTTGGTTCGCTCACATAGGAGGATAAATTTGGGTACCACTCACGACACAATTTGGGTCGTGACACATGTTTACTAATATTATTAAAGTATGAAGGTTATCATTAAATAAATTGATTTTTTTTTACTAGTTAACTAAATTTTCACATTTAATCCATTCTAAATCAAATGAGCTTTCCCATCCATTTAAACTAAATATAAAAAATTATCATTATTTTTTATTTTAACAAATTTAATCAAATAACATCAATATTCTTCATTTTAAAGAACTTATTATAAATTTTTTCTTTACTTTATTTTGTAACTCAAAAAACATATTACAATAGTGATGGTATGTAAGAAGATTTTATGTAACTAGTGAATTTGGATAAACATTTTATATTAATTTTAAGATAGTAATATGTATGTTGCCATAATGTTTATAAACGTATTACTATTTCGGAAAATAACAGGGATAATTAAGTAAGCGGAAAATGGTTTAAATACTCTTAAAGTATTGAAAATGGTATAAAATTACCCTTATCCACCTATTGGCTTTAAAATACCCTTTCCACCCACCTATTGGGTCCAAAATACCCTTGTCATCCATTATTTGGTTCAAAATTCACCACTTATTTAACGGTTTTATATTGAAACTATTTAAATTTTTTTAAAATACGTGACGCTCAACTATTTGTTATAATTTAACTTATTAGTATAATTTATAAATCAACCCACTACCCACTCATTACTAATTAAATCCCTCTGAATTAATAAACCTGTCACATTATTAATGCAAGCTACTGTCAATTGAGTGTTTTTAAAAATTATAGAAGTACATTATCATACATCAAGTGGCTAAATAAAAATCACCGATAAACTTAAAAGTCTGACTATGTTCATCTAAATTATTCTTACGTCTCAATTATGTGATGTTACTTCACAAACTTTTTTTGAAAATAATATTAAAGGTTTTAAAATAAATCATAAATATTTATAAAATTATATTTAAAAAAAGTGCATGAATTAATTCGGTGCAATACTTCTTTACCTTTAATCATTAATTTCTAATTCAATTTTGAAAGAAAGTGTCCTCCTAAATAAGCGGCTCAACCTAAATTTAATTGGGGCTTCGATTCGGACTCGAATAATTTTGGATGTCATTTTCAGGAATCTATAATTTCATCGTGTCTTAGTAGTGTTTAAGAGGATTTTGATATTATAATTGGATTATTAATTGGGTGAGGTTTAGTTAGTAATGAGTGGATAGTGGGTTGATCTATAAATTATATTAATAAATTAAAATTATAACCAATAGTTGAACACCAAGTATTTTAAAAAATATTTAAAGAGTTTAATTTTAAAACAATTTAAAAAGTGGTCAATTTTGAACCCAAAGATGGATGACAAGGGTATTTTGGAGCTAATAGGTGGATGAAAAGGCATTTTGGAGCCAATAGGTGGATGAAGGCTAATTTTATACCATTTTTAATACTTCAAGAATATTTTATGCCTTTTTTCGTTAAATAAAATGACTCTTCAATCATACTTCTTTTAGAAACTAATATCTCGATTACAATTTTTTATTAAAAAGTCTAATCTATTGTTGACCTTCTAAAGTTGACATTAGCTCACTTAGAAATTTTAACTAGACGTTGTTCATTTTAGACACTTTATGTGATGTTTAGGTGTGTCATTTTGACACTTTATTTTTTATAACACTCACCGATGACATATGTCAAAATGACAAACTAAATAACGGCACATGTCGTTTATATTGAAAATAATTTCTAAATAATGAATTTTGAATAGAAAAAAATGTCAATGACTCAATGACAAGTTGCAACTTTTATCCAAATAACTTTTATAAAAATTAACCACTTGTATAGTCCTCTTCTCCACCACCCTAAGCCCCAATACTTAACCCCTCCCCGCTAGAATGTCTTCTCCACTGTTCACAAAAAGTAATTCATTTTACTTTTGGAACTTCAAATAAAATTAAATTCTTCAAATCTAAACAAAGTATTTCCTCTTAAAAGAATTTTCTTGAACTTTTACAAAAAAAAAAAATGCATTTCAATTATTTTCAAAAAACATCTTCATGACAACAAAGTAAGAAAATTTATTCAAGTTAAAAATCTGTTGGTGTTGTGGCAACATTAAATCTATTTTTCCATAGAAGGAGCTTAAGTTTTAGAAAATGATGGCTAAAATTATGAAGAAGAAGAAGAAAACAATAAAATAAAAATAGATTAAATAAGCTTTTCATGCGATGGTAAAGAGTGTCCCCACTCACTATGTTATGTCAGTAAAAAGTGTTAAAATGACACTGTAAAACATGACATGACGTGTCTGAAATGAAAAAAAATTCTAATTGGAGTGTCTAAGTGAAAATCAGTGTGAACTTTAAGAGGCCACCGATAGATTAGGTCTTACTAAAAATATTTGTTCGAAATTTTTCAAGGATAATTGTATATAATAACAAACTATTAATTCAAATTAAATGTTATAATCATTGTTTGATTTAATTGTACCCGTAGTAAACAATTGCTATTTTGGCTCTCTCCTTGGTGAATCTCGCTTGCTACTCTCGTTCTCGTTGGACAGTCTCGCTCGCCTCTCTCGTTTTTATACAAACAAAAACCGTATAAAATGTGTTTGTGTTTGTATAAAGCGAGAGAAAATTGTATATATACATATATTTTTGTTCTCATCTCTCACCTCTCCTAAATCTCGCTCGCCACTGCCGCTCAACTCTCTTACTTTATACAAATACAAATGTATACATTGCGTTTGTGTTTGTAATAAAAGCGAGATAAAATTGTATATACAAATATAAATGCATATATTTTCATTATATTTACTTATGATTATACAAATACGATATTCCCCTACTCCATTTTCTTTTGCATTTCTCTCTTTCTCGCTTTGTGCAAGTGCATATTATACAATTGATTCTTTTGTATATGTATACTTAAACAGATTATACAATTGCTTTTTTTGTATATATGTATAGCGAAATACCCGTACCAAACATAATATTTGCTATGGACCACAATTATAGATATTATAGTTATAAAATATAAATAAGATTTTTATGTTTGCTATATGCGAAAATTGTTTAACTTTCCAATTGCAAGCGCAAGTACAAATCACACTTTCTTCTTCTGTCTTCTTTGATCTTCTTTTTCTTATTCTTTCTTTGTTGTTTTCCTCCTCCTCCTCCTTCCTTATTTCTTAGTTGTTTTCTTCTTCCTCCTCCTTTTTCTTGCATGTTCAAAGCTCAAGTTTAAGATCATTGTGCTATAAACATGATTCATTTTGTATGACATATTAAGAGAAACGAAACGTGGGAGAATCTCATATCTAAATTTTGAAATTGTTTAGAGGAGATTTGAGTTGGTTGAGTTTGAAAAATAATTGATCTACAATGTATACTTAATCGTATAAACAATGTTATAAAGGCATATACATCTCTTATATATACTTATACATCATCTATACATGAGTAAATATTATTTATACAATATCAACACAATACATTACATATACATATGACCATTTTGTTGAAAATATTTTAAAATGATCTGACAAGGCTTTTAAGTTAACCCACACTGTTTTTGCGGGTTTCTTGCACTGAAAATAAGAAAATCTTGCTCTTCAACTTATGCTAAAAGCTACTAGTTAAATAGATAGCTTTCTAATTAAACTATTTTTAATCAATTTTTTATGTTGGGCTGAGAGTCATAGTTAGTTGTTGATGTTTCTTCCTTTCTGATTGTTTTGTCCTCGTTGTTAATGCCCGCTAAACCAATATAAAAAGATACGTTATCTATATAATATGAAATTGTGTAGCTTTCCTTTTTCCATCTATATGTTACTTCCATCAGTCAATATATTTAGTATTTTCTTCAATCTCATACTGGCAAAAGATTTCCAAAATGTCATATTTGGATGATCTATTACAAATATGTCTTATACATAATTCTGGAAGAAAATTCTTTGAATTGCAATGTTAAGACATGATAATTATTCTACCAACGGTTGAATTGATATGCAAATACAACAGAACATCAATATTGAGACGCCACATAACTTCCAATAATAGTGGTGTCTGAGTCAAGTAGTAAGAAACCTGATTGTCCACTAGGTACTTATATTACCTCCCATCAACAAAGATCGGATAACTTTGTCTGTCGACAAGTTCTCAATGGGCGCGTAACCACATTTTGATGATTCAATGCAACTTGCCCCCATCTTATAAAACACAAATCTTGAAATCAAGTATGGGGGGAGAAGGTAGGAAATGAAGATTCCAGCTATATCTCCATGTCATTATATGCACAAAAGAGTATCTAAGACTTAAAGCTACTGGTACAAGACTAAAGGCCAAAAGAATGTACAAAAATATAGCTATCTGATCTCCTTGTGAATTTTATAAATAGCCCCCAATTTTACTGCCAAAATCATCAGCAAGGTAGCTCTGGATTTGAAAATTTTTCTGCCAATTGATAAATTGTTAAGTATGAAACTACCTAGCTTCTCTTCGAGACAAATCCAAACAATTCCAGGAGACATCCATCTACATACACTTCAAGGCAAGAAATAACTGCTGAGGCTGCCGAAGGTCATTTGGAAGTCTAAAAGAACGATGGAATTATTTGCCTCATAACCAAAGCAGGAGCATGCTGATGATTGGAACTGCAACTCAAGAAAACTTTGTTCTTGAAACAGAAAGTTGAAGCAGCTCTCAGTTCTCATCAAGAGTGGCTAAGACTTCCAATGCTCAAACTTGTAAAACCTGACAGTGCACAATATGACTCTTCAAACCTGCTCGTCCTGAGATACTTGACCATAAATTTGTGAACATAGTTCTGAAGTGACCTTTACCAGCAATGTTTTCCCAAAGACGTGGGTTAGTTTCCACTCGCTTATCAGGACTTGACACATCAATGATGCTGATGCTCATGTTGTTCCGAATTATACAAAGTTTACCATTAAGGGGAACCAGAGCAGCTGCTTCCAAAGCACGAGAACTTCCAAGGTGGAGCTTACTATCAATAAATCTGATCCATGACTGAGTAGATTCATCATATACTCTAAGTTTGCACCCATCACGACAATCCAAAGCATATAGACGACCATTCATGGAGATGCTTGGGTTGCGCCAACCAGCAACCATCCTGTTGTTAACTGGGCTCCATGCATTTGTATCAGGGCTATAAGATTCACTGAGAACTTCTCTGTGGGATCCCAAACCTTTTATAAACCACTTCCCATCATACACTACCCCGATAAAAGGTACCATGGCTGTGCTCATATCAGCAATAAAACTCCAGCGCTTCCTGTTTGGGTCATAAACTTCAGCTGAGCGAAGAGTCCTCTGTATTCCTTCACATTCTCCACCAGCAACATAAAGACAATTATTAATTACGCAAGAGCCGAAGAAATGGCGTTTGCGGAGCATGTCTGGTGCCCTGTGCCATCTATTTGTTCGAGCATTATAAAAGATTACCCTTCGCATAGACCCCTTGATTGGATCTTTCCCTCCAAACAAATAAAGATGGCAACCACTAAGAACAGCACAACCAAATCCAAGGGCTTCGCCATAATCCCCTGGAACAGGTGGAAGTGGCTGCCAAAGTTGGTAAGTTGGGTCAAATGCATGCCATGTAATCCGTCCATCACGATCTCTTTTAACCACATATACCCACTCTTCAGCCATTCCAAGACTCTTCCTTTGAGAGTAAAAGAAGTTACCAGCAAGAAGCCTATACCACCTTTTGCAAACTAGACGGAGCTTGCTAAGTTCAACACGAGGAACACGAACTAGACAAGCAATTGCAAGATCATCAGGTAGGCTAGGCAGAAGAGGTGGCTGCACTCTTGACCTCTCCCTTCGAGAGTTTTTACTTTTGTGTGCATGAGAACTGATGTCTGACTGGATACAAAGTTTTGATCCTGGGACAAATTTTCTTGCCCCAGCAACTGTCTTTAAGCCCGAATCAACATTGCAATAGCATGATACAGAATCAACCTGCAAATTAAGGAAATGCAGGTTTATATAATTTCTCTAACAACCATAAAATGTTGCACGCGAAGAATGTTTTTTCTACAATAACACCAAAACATTAAGAAAGACAAAATATTATTCTTAGCATTAACACAAATTGAGAATGAAAAGTTTAGGATATATATTTCAATCTGACTTTTGAGAACTCAAAAAGCCTGAGCAAGGTATATACGCAAGTTTAAAAACAGAAGACCATACTTTTACTAGCTAAAAGCTTTTCAAATAAGCCTAGCCGGATAATATACCAAAACCTTTTTTCTTTTGTCTATTTCTGCTCTTTCACTGTTTCTTTCTTCTTCATTTTTTTGGTGGGGTTTGGAGGTCAGTGTTATTAATCATTACTCGACAAATCGGTCAATAGCGCAGAAGACTGCCCCACATGTTTATAATAGAAAAGTACTCAATCCGATGAATAATGCATGTAAATTATGGTTTTCCACATAGATAACTAACTAAAGAGTCTCCCTGCCAACAACCTTCATTAACAGAAAGAAAAAATAAAGTCAAGTGGCCCTTAATACTCCATGTGTTACCACTTAAAAAATCATACTTTCTGGAGCCTTAACCAAAACAATCTACTGCTATTGATTTTTCAGATAATTAGCACCCCAACACAATCTATTGCTATAAGACAATACTTACCCAATGTTAACCTTAACCATATGACTTTTAAAACCTTTAATGCATGCTAGAGCTAGGTAGCCTATCCATGATTTGCTTCTTTGCATCCTCCAATTCTGGAAAAGCTAAATGCCAAAAGTCAGCTCACATGCTAACCACATTAAATTTAGCTTGTTTGATGACAAATTATTTCCTGGTCAAAGATAATTACACTGATGTCTCTTGACCAGTAGTGTGTTCTATTACCCTTTATAAATCCATATTTGTTCCTCTAGCATAGCTTCACTTGTGTGTAAGGTGTCGTCATCATTGTACCAGCATGAATAAAGAAATAGGACCTGACAGAAAGGCACCTCCACAAAGTTGCTAGATATAGCAGCTGAAATTTTCAGAATGGAGAGGACCAGTATTTCTTTTTTTAATGGCCGTGGTGTCCGGGCCAACTTTCGCGCACCTCGAGTAATTCCATGGGATACCTGTCACCTCCTACCAGCAGCAGGTACCAAGTAACTCTGTCCACCAAGGCTAGGACAGAGAGAAGCAGTATTACTGATGTACCTTGTCGGTATTGAACACTCATACCTTTTTCTTCACTTCCTAATGTTAATTTTATTGCTTTCAACCTTGATTTTCCCCTTTCCCCCTAGCAAGAATCAATCCTATATGTTTCACCGTTGTAAGTTTCCCTCATTTAACCACCACTTTTTGCAGCTATTTCAGATAAAATAGTTACTACCTCATTCACTAAGGAGTTATCAAAATGGTACTTATCCTCAATCATTCTGCGAAAATCATAATACTTTTTACATCCATATATACATGAATACATAGTCTTCTGCAGCTTTATGCACACATAAAGTAAGCTGCTAGTTCTACTAGTAACACCAACCTCAGTCCATCAAGGAAGATTAACTACTTTTACATCTTTATGACGAATCACATAGTACAATGCATCAAGAGGCTTCATTTACAGCAGTTTATGAAGCCGATGTACAAATTTCCAATATGTAGAAATGAATCGAACTAGATTAAGACTATACATCACACTCATATACGCACCATTCACATTTAGATTCTCCATACTCAAAAATAAGTCAGTTGAAAGGAGTTTGATTTAAGAAGCAAGTGGTAGAGTTCCACATGGTTGTGATGGAATTGGTCTCTTTATCTGATCTTGGGCATTTTCCGTCATGAGCTAGCTTTTGGATTGGTTACGCCCATGGTCCATTTTCTTAATATGGATGTTTCTTCTTCAGTGTATTCATCACATTAAATGACAAGAGTTCTATGTTTTAGCAACTATCCTTGCACCCAAGTGTATGACTTAGCAATTAATGAAGAGGATGAAGATCATGGATATTAGAATTCAAACTCCTAGTTGAGGCAAAAAAGCTAGGTAATTATGTCCTTTCATTTGCCTAGCTATGTGCTTAGGTGGCTCGATGGATAGGATGTAGTAGGTATTTTAGTAGATAGGGACCTGAGGGAGCAAGTGGTGGAGGTTAGGAGGATCAATGAGTGAGGGTCCTCTGAAAACAGTAGGTAATTATTTCCTACTTTAATTTGTTGTATTTGAGCTGAGGGTCCTCCAGAAACAGTTTCTCTACCTCATCGAGATAGGCGGTAAAGGTAGGGTATGTGTATACTCTACCCTCCTTAGACTCCACTGGATATATGTGGTTGCCTAGGTATCATGGACAGATTAGCAAGTAGTCATTGAATAGTCTAGGCTTATGCAAACTATCCCAGACACCCCCATTACCCAAAAACAAATATTCAGGAAACTATACGGAATATACAGTACAAACTTATCAAAACAAGGCAGTATAACTAGCAGACATGAGTAAAAGCAAACCGCAAAAAGTGAAGAACAAATTTCTAAATTTTTATTTCAAATTCAGGAAAACATAAACCAAGAATTCACATTTTTATTTTCCCCCTTTTAAAGAATCCTTTTTACCCTTCTCTAGAAACTCCCACGTTTTTGTTCCCTTGGTTACCCGAACCCAAAACTTAGGGTGTCTATCATTTGAACAACCCCTCTTCTCAAAAGTCAAGTTAAAGGACCTTAACTGAATTTTAAGAGAAATGTTACAGATTCAGCAGGTATATCATGGTAATCAAACCCCAAAAAAACAAATTCAAAACAACCCAAGTACCAAAAGTTGCTCCTTTGCCAGAAATTTCCATAAGAGTATTGAAAGAAAGACACTAAATCAGAGAAATTAACAAACAAATAAAAATGAAGATAGAACACTCACCAGTGGAGGTTGAACTCGAAAACCCCTATGTGCATTTGAAGACCTTTCAATTGTTTGGTCCATCTTTCTACACCAGATTTCATTCACAGATAAAACCCACAAAAAAAATCAAGATTTCACCCCTCCACACACAGATCAAGACCCTTCTGTTCAAAAATGACCAAAAAAAAAATCAATAAAAAAAAAAGTAACAAACTCAGACCCTTGGAGTCTCTTTTTTACAGCAAAGTAACAAACTCAGACCCTTGGAGTCTCTTTTTTACAGCAATTAACACTCTATTTATATAAATGAACAAACAAGACTACAGCTGGAAAAATTGTCTTTTACCTAGTTCAATTTAATTTTGCAGATTTTCATAATCACTACTTACATTATTGCAGAAAAAATTAAATTCCAGTTCTTGACACAGGACAAAAAAAAGGTTTACCAGATTTTTCAATGGTAGCATTTAATTTATTGGGTCAAATCGAAACCATTCTGTCTCTATTTCGAGTGTGTGAAAGAGAATTGAAGAAGACATGCCAGTTTGTGGCGCGGAAGACGGGATGCTATATTACTAAAAGAAACACTACTGGGGCTCCTTTGGTTGGAGAATAATTTGTCTCGAAATTAATTTTTTTGAAAGATGTTATTACAAGATTATTATTTTATTTTTAATGTGTAATAAAAAAAATACTCTAATCTTAAAGTAATTAATTTATTTCACCAAATATGAAATTAACTTATTCTAATTAATTATTCTTTATCCTTCCTACTAAACAAGCCTTCAGGGGTATGGTTATGAATTAGCATATCAAATCGAAAAATTTTGTATTATTTAAGTTTTATGGTATTTGATATAAATTGTGATATTCTTTCTATTTCAAATTGAGTAATATGTTTTGAGTTGACATAAAATTTAAGAAAGTAAAGAAAATTTTTAAATCTTGTGAAATTTAAGATTCATTCTTTTTTGGAAGAGTTAAAAAGAAAAGTAGGTCAAATAAATTGAAACAAAAAGAATATATATTTTTAAAAAATTAATATCCAATAGAGTTTATGATATACATTTTTAATTTTTTTGACGTTCAATACGATATTTGATATTTATAAGTAAAATATCAAAATACTTGAATTTTTGTACTGAAGTATAAATTACATACATAATTCATATATTATTATGAAATTATATAAATTTAGAAGAAGAATAGAGTAGGAGAAGAAATTTCTTATTCATTTTGAAGTATATTCAGGATTCATAGTTCTTTCTCAAATCTTATTTACTATGAAGGAAAACTACTTTATTTATAGGGAAAACCTTACTTGATCCCCAAGTAAGATTCCTAACCATAACCTACAAGGACTCCACATAATTAGACATTCACTATAATACAAATATGTTTATAACACTCCCCCTTGAATGTCAATAAGTTATGTGCCTCGTTAAAACCTTATTAGATAAAATCGTTAAAACTAGACTAGATAAAACCCGGTGGAAAAAAAATCTAGTGAAGGAAAAAAAGTATACATATCTAATAATACACATTATGGATGCCTCATTAAAAACCTTACAAGGAAAATCCATTGGGACAAACCTTGTGAGGAAAAAAAAAGTACATCGCGTATTAACTCCCCCTAATGACAACATCAATTCAGAGACTAGAATCTTCGTTTTCAAGCTTATACACCATCTTCTTGAAAGTTGTAGTTGGTAGAGACTTGGTGATTAAATCAACAATAATATTACTTAAACAGACCTCTTGTATGTTGATGTCACCATTCTTGGGAGCTCGTCAGTGTAGAAAAACCTTGACGAAATATGTTTTCTTCTATCTCCTTTTATGAATCTTCCCTTCAGAGTCAAAGATTCCTCCAAGTTCCTTCCTTTAACTTCTTTAAGAGAATAATCTATTGCCTTTTGAAAATTCTTTAAGAGTTTCAATTATAGTTATCAACTTGCATACAATACTTATATATGCTCTATACATTTTGAATCTATTTAATCCTTATGAGGATGATAGACAAATTTTTTAAAAACTTGTATATGCTTTAGATTTTGAACCCATTGTATATTTTCATATCAATTTTGTCAAGTGGCAACATTCAATATTAGATGTATGACATCTTCTAGTGCCTAGTTGCAAGTCAAATAAGTTTTACGCTTACCAAGATGCATCATTCCTCTTTTCACTTGATAATTATTTCTACAGAAGCATGCTTTAATAGATGTAAAATTCATATCCTCATAATCTTTTAAGCGTGCTATGGTATCAAAGATGTCATCAACGATATATCATTTTATATCGATTCACAATAGACATAACTTAATGAGATCTCATCACTTTATTATTTTTAGGTAGCTACTCCTCTCATGAGGTTTTATAAAGTGTTATGTCGTAAGCTCTCCAAGAGCACATTGTATCCTTATTATGATCATTTTGATTCTTTGATCCTCCCCTTTTTCAAAGATTATTTTATTTAGAATTAATTAGTCTATCATGCTTCATGCAAGTCATAGACTCTATCTTTAAGGGACATCTAATAAGAGTATTTACAACTTTTGTGTTGCTTCTAATCTCCCCCTTAAGTTAGATAAACTTGCATATATCTCAATCTTTTGGAGAATCTATCTTCGTACATCATAGTATATTCATTAATCATACTTTGCACATCAAAGTTATCATATGAAAACTATTTGGTCCCTGACCATAAACCAATTAACAGATACATTAATCATAACTTATTGGTTTGATTCATACAATTACATTTTATGTAATATCATATTTTAGATCAACACATGAAACTTTATTTTCATAAACAATGGTTCACTATGTGAGATATTTAATGTCACATCATCTTATATATTCATCAATATTATCGAGCTGAATTATCTTGATTTCATATTCTGAAAGTTGTACTTTTAGCTCAATTATCTTGCACAAACAATTTCGGAATGTCAAACTGCAAGTTGACAACAAACGCACATGTAATTATCTTATTGATGCATCTTTTTATCATATCACATGATAGGTGAACGAACCCATTTTCACCTTTTATAATTTTTAGAATTTAGGGATTTAGTCCCAACTTTAGTTGATCCAATTAACTTTATCACGAGAACAAGCAACATAAAGAATTCTTGAAGAATCTTCTAGTTTTTTAAATGTACGTCAATTACTCAGTATGCACATCTTTGGGATGATCAAATTATTCATGCCAACTAATAAAATTATTAATACTCGTAAATTCCAAGTTTACTATGCCATGTGCCCTTTGCTTTAGTAAATTTCTGATTTACTATTATATGAGTAAATTTCAATTTTGTTACACCAAGAGTAATTTTCAGATTTATTTCTTCTCAATTACTTTATCCTTCGTGATCTCATTATTGAATGAACTAATCTGAAGAAAATTGTGCATATAAACATATTATTCGTGCCAACATTTTTGCAAACATCAAGTTGCGAGCTAATAATAGGCACACATGAGACCATAAATAAGAAACATTTATTAGGACCATTAAATATCTAAACAATCCACTAGGTGGATGACTAGGTCCACAAATATTTGTATACGTTCCTAGAACGTAGAGAATTCAATCTCAACTTTTATTTATGATGATCTCACAATTAGCTTGTCTTGCTAACAAGTAGTACAAGAAAATTCACCATTTCAAAGATTTTTTAGTTTATCCCATGGATGTCCATTTTAGTTTTTCATAATTCATCTAAACATTATAGACAACGATGTCCAGACAATCGTGTCAAACTAAGAAAGTATTGGAATTTAGTAAACTTCTTATTTGCCAAGAATGTGCCTCAATTGCTCTAATTCTTGTCTAATACAATCATGAAGATAAAACATGAAACTTTTATATAATACATGTCTTCTTAGAGACATTCTTGGTGATACCATATCATTGACCAAAGGTCGCAATCTTTCTCATGCCTACATATGGTTGCTTACACCTCATTTTCTTTAGAGAATGAATTGATATTTTTAGCATTTATCAAAAGTTCTCATTCTTGATGAATGGAACACAAACATGTGAGCATATCAAATTATGATAGCTTTAGTACCTCATTCCATATTTATGTACATTATTAAATCACTTGTCTTTTTTCAGACATATTATGCACTACTACCACATTCACTTTACGTAATGGAGCAAATTTTCAGTTAATTTCATGACTTCTCATCAAAAACACATTAGTTTTTCTTTAATCATTATTATATCAATAATATGGTGCGTTAAAATTCAAACTCAATGTCTTATCCATATAAGAGTGTCTTAGGCCATAAATTGATAAAACTTGAATCGAATATCTTCTCATCATGGTACACCAGTACTTTAACCCAATGTCTTACCCTCTTGGTGCGATTGAACGTAAATCCACCATCTTATTCTTTTGGTGCGATAAAACTTAAATCTATCGTCTTACCCACAATGAACCTCAACCTCATGCCTTCACCTAATTGTAATTTTATCACTTTTAATGATCATTAATAGGATCGTATATTATAATTAGACACAAAATTGAGATTATTGATTTATTTTAATCAACATTAGTAGTTAATAGATATAGCTTAATAGATCACATACCTCATATAAAGATTGAAAACATACCTTTCACTACATTATGCTTATTTAATTATTAAAATAAATAAAGGAATTCTCTTCCCAATCGGTTAAAATAAAACGCATAAAAAGTCGATTGGACTCTTTAAATACTTACTCTAGATGGTAACTCTAGATCTGTCACATAAATAATTATAACTAACAAAGTAAAGATAAATCATACCTTACAAATACGAGAACCTTATTGCATAACTTATGCAGGATCTCTTTTGCACTTTTCCCGTCTTCTATCATAATTCTTTAAGAATAGAACAATCGTGCTGATAACATATTATGAAACTATATAAATTTAGAAGAAGAATAAAGTAGGAGAAGAAACTTCTTATTCATCTTGAAGTATATTCAAGATTGATAGATCTTTCTCAAATTTTATTTACAATGAAGGAAAACTCCTTTATTTATAGGGGAAACCTTACTTGGTCCCCAAATAGAATTCCTAATCATATCCTACGAGGACTCCACATAATTAGACATTCACTATAATACAAATATGTTTAGAACATATATATTATTATTGTTATTGTTATTATTCTTGTTGTTGTAGTTGTTGTTGTTATTATTATCATTATTATTATTATTATTATTATTATTATTATTATTATTATTGTAAAAACTAAAATTACTTTTTTTAAATAAAAAATAAAATTACTGCGCTAAGATTTCAAATATCTTACCACATCATATCATGCCCCTCTAATTATACTCCCCTTTCCCAACCCAATCTTTCAAAATATAATGAAATACTATTCAATTTAGATTTGTTTAAAGTTTTCTGAGGAATACTTATTGTTTGGTTCAATTAAATATTTATACTTAATAGTTTGAATTAATAATTATTTTAGGTATAATATATAAATGTACCTTTTAACTTAGTTTCGTATCACATTTATGTCCTTTAATTTTGGATGCGCACAAGTAACACTTAAACTTGTATAAAGTTGAACAAATAGACACACATGTCCACATGTCATCCAACA